TTATCACATGGAAACTAATATCCTTATTTTTTTTTTTTTTTTCAGTGAAAATAGCGAATCAGGACACACACAGCCCAAAACCAATTCATATCTTCTACTGAGAAACACAAACTTTTGAAAGTTTAAAGCCTATGCGAAGAGACATTATATAGTTATTTTACAAAGATCAATACCCTTAAAACATCAGTACTCAGTTTGAAGCACCTCAGATGTATCATAATAAATTCATCGGCATAATAATGGAAAATTGTGACATACACAAACCAAAATCAACCAAAACTTTTCTTTAGCTATGATTTACCAACACAAGACACAGATCTCTTTTTGATGTACCATGTCACACTGTGTAAAAACTCTATGCACATAAAGGGCCCCAAAATTTGGACTTCATTACCAGAAGATACTAAAGTAACCCGGCCGGAAAAATCAATTTAAGACTCTTTTAAACAACCACTTACTCTCTCTGGACTAAATAGTTGATACTCAATATTTAATTATACCAATAAATTCCCCATTTACTAAAATCATAAAACTTCAAGACAACTAATAGCAACCTGATCATCTTATGTTATACACTGTGATACGACAAACTCACACCTATAATACTTCAGAATCAAAATGTTCAAACTCACACCTATAATGCTTCAGAATCAAAATGTTCAAACTCACACCTATAATACTTCAGAATCAAAATGTTCAAACTCACACCTATAATACATCAGAATCAAGATGTTCAAACTTCATTGTTTCAAATACTCAATTGTACTTCATGCTGTAAATTGTTTACGGTAATTTTTACCACTGAATCTGTCATTGCTTAGTTAATTATAAGTTAATTTTAAGCCTGCCCATAATACTCTGCATACAAGGGGCTGTAGATGAATGGTTCAGAGAACCGACACGTTGATAAATTAGACACATGTGCAACTCTTGGGGAAACGTTTCCTCAGTAAAGATACCCAAGGGTTGTACATGTGACTAATTTATCATACAAGGGGCTTTTGACATGTACACCCAACTACTGCAGTTCCTTGTACAATTATGTATCACGTCCAAATAAAGCATTATATTGCATTGTATTGTAAAGGTTGGGATCCTCTCCAAGATACGATACTACGTGCCGCAAAATGCCCTTCTCACACTATACCACTCACTTATTTATCCATACCTTGGGGATCAACTGCAGCAACACACCTAAAGCCAATAATAACCCAACAAAAAGCTGCAGTAAGAATAATCGCTAAATCCCATCCCTGGCAACACACCCCCCCACTCTTCATAGATCTAAACTTACTCCCTGTTCAGTACATCCACACTTACTACTGTGCAATCTACATCTACAGGACCTTAAACTCCAATATCAACCTTGATCTAAAACGCTTTCTTGATAGTTATGACAGAACCCACAGGCATAACACCAGACACAAACATCTCTACGACATTCCCCGTGTCCGACTAAACCTTTACAAAAATTCAATGTATGTCAAAGGCCCTAAAATCTGGAACACCCTACCTGAGAACTCTAGAACTGCAGACACATTCATCACCTTCAAAACTACCATTAGAAAACATCTTATCTCCCTGATACACCCCGTCAACTAACTACACGAATACCACCTGGTGGTTCACACTTACACTCACTCACCCATTTGACCATAAACAGAAATATTAATCTCAATCTTAAAATAATGAATCCTATGATACTCCAATACTGAAACTATGTACTGTGCCAAAACAAAAGCATTCACATTGCTAAACTCACAAACTAGTATTTAGTCACTTAGCCATAATACCAACTTACCTCATAATTTGTAATATTTTAAAATAAAGAATTAAACTAAGTCTGCCCGAAATGCCTAGCCATGCTAGGCGTTCTAGTGGTACACTCTGTAATCATTATTTAACTACATGTAAACCACACAATAACCAAATTCTGTAAATTCAACATTGTAATCTTTATAGAGAATAAACTCTGAATTTGAATTTGAGAAGAGGTCAACTCCGGTTGTTACAGAGACTTCAACTTATTTAATGAAATTAACAAAGTAAAACTTGACCCAGATTCAAGGTGAGACTTCCTTTGAGAAGAAATACATCAGAAGTAAAAGTTTGAAGCCGACCAGACAACGCATTCTCTAGATATTGCACAGAATTCAACAATTGGTAGTTTATCATCTGCGTTAGTAAATTCAGAACTGTGCACCTACAAAATTTAAATCTCCCCGCCCCCCTTCCCCGCCAAAAAAAATAATCCATTTCATGAGTCAACCTATAGAGATTGATATTTTTCAGAAGTAGACTCTAGTTATTTAATATAAATAATACATTACTTCGAAATTAAAATTAACAAAATTTCACAATTTTTACTGCTGGCCGGTTTACGTGCAGACGGCAGTAACAGCCTGGTTGATCAGGCCCTGATCCGCAGCTAGGCCTGGTCATGGACCGGGCCGCGGGGGCGTTGATCCCCTAAATACCCTCCAGGTATACTCCCCCAGGTACCAATAAGTGAGAATAGTTGTCATTAAATAGAGCATACCAAGTGTTCCACGAATCTTCGTAGTAAGACGAGTGAATGATTCGTATCAGAGGCAGGTGGCCCAGCGGTTAACACACTGGCTTGTGAATTTTAGGATTTCACCTGCCACGCGTTCAACCCCCCACCCGTGCCCTTGGTTTAACCTTCCTCTAGTTCATCATCGTTGAAAACTTAAAGCCAATCGAATAAGGCATTCTGAAGTTCTCAAGGAGATCCTTAGAGGGAGTTAGTGGAGGGGGATAAAAAAAAGGACACAGCTGGTAAGAGTACCGGCTCTGGAATAAAGCCGTGCAGAATTACAATATATTTAAAGGCTCACTATATATGTAAAATTTGGAAAACGTCATAATAAGTGTGAACTTTCAACATTTCTCAGTTTTCTGCTCTCAGTTATATGTCTATTTAAAAAAAAAAAAAGTCTCGACAAAACTCTTAATAAAATAATATTTCACCTTTTATTTTTAGGAAAGATCAGTTTGATATAATTTTATTTTTCAATGTAACTGACAAATCCAAAAAAAATCCTCCCATTAAAACACGTATGCTGAGCGTTTGAAGTCGATAAAAAGACTCATTGGAAATATAAACACAAATGCAGTATAATGTGATCCTCTATTGACAACGTTTCACCCACACAGTGGGCTTTCTCAAGTCACACACGGATCTACCTGGGGTTGGAAGGTACGAGTGTATTTATAGTCATGTTCAGAATGTTGAGGTCAGGTGGAGAATGCTGCATCTGATGATCTACCGGGTGGGGTTATAGAGTCTTGGGTAGCTTGGCAGGGGTATTGGACAAGTTGTGAGTAGACCTTCTGCAGTGTTCTATGTTCTTATGTGGGATAGCGATGAAGAAGTTTCTTGGCGAGTGGTTCAGCTATGTTATAGAAGCCATTGTTATCACGCGGTGACTAATTTCCTTAATGAGTTCCGAAAATTATAATTTAGACATTTGTAAGTGAATTCCAAGTCTTTCTCTAAATAAACCTCCACCAACTTCAACAATAAAAGAAATAAAAGAATTTCTTCAGTAATTGCTGTCAATTTAGTTGGGTGCATTGGCTTAAGCTGGTAGGTGAGTTGGACCTGCCTCGCATGGGCCAGTAGGCCTTCTGCAGTGTTCCTTCGTTCTTATGTTCTTGTGTAAAAATTCAAATTTGCCCGTGAAGAGAAAACTTACTGGATGTTATCCTTCTTATGGAATATTATCTTTCTTATGGAATATTATCTTTCTTATGGAATATTATCCTTCTTATGGAATATTATCTTTCTTATGGAATATTATCTTTCTTATGGAATATTATCTTTCTTATGGAATATTATCTTTCTTATGGAATATTATCTTTCTTATGTAATATTATCTTTCTTATGGAATATTATCTTTCTTATGGAATATTATCTTTCTTATGGAATATTATCTTTCTTATGGAATATTATCTTTCTTATGGAATATTATCTTTCTTATGGAATATTATCTTTCTTATGGAATATTATCCTTCTTATGGAATATTATCTTTCTTATGGAATATTATCTTTCTTATGGAATATTATCTTTCTTATGGAATATTATCTTTCTTATGGAATATTATCCTTCTTATGGAATATTATCTTTCTTATGGAATATTATCTTTCTTATGGAATATTATCCTTCTTATGGAATATTATCTTTCTTATGGAATATTATCTTTCTTATGGAATATTATCTTTCTTATGGAATATTATCTTTCTTATGGAATATTATCTTTCTTATGGAATATTATCTTTCTTATGGAATATTATCTTTCTTATGGAATATTATCTTTCTTATGGAATATTATCCTTCTTATGGAATATCACATTATTGGATATCATCCTTATTAGATATCATTCTTCTTGTTGGATATCATCCTTCTTATCAGATATCATCCTTGTTATTAGATATCATCCTTCTTGTTGGATATCATCCTTATTGGATATAATCTTTCTTACTAGATATCATTCTTGTGGAATATCATCTTATTAAATAATATTCTTTTTGGATATCATCCTTCTTATTGCATATCATCCTTCTTATTGCACATCATCCTTCTTATTGCACATCATCCTTCTTATTGCATATCATCATTTTTAGCTATCACCCGTCTTATTTGATTTTCTTTTTATTGGATATCCTTTTTACTGAAAGACGTTCCAGTTATAAAATAAGGTTTGGAAGAAGAAAAAGAAAATAGAGACATCCATATAGTTTTCCCCTTTGTAGATCCCTAAGTTTTTTTTTTTTTTTGCGGATACAAATAAATATCATGTGAAAAATATGGCCTCAGAATGGGTAAATCCCTATAAATAAAGCACTAGACTGGTTCATGCTCACTGACGTTTTAAAAATAATGAACGATTTATATTAGTTATGCGTTAGCTGCCCACCACCAAGGTATATCCTATTTTCTATCTATTTATGTGATTGTTTTTTATTTCTTTTCAGCACACGGCTGTCCACGAAGGTATGGACAATGTCGCCTCTACGGTTATCGGCAACACCCGTGTAGATACGATCACGATTGCTTGAGCCCTGGACACAAGTGCTGCTACGATGAATGTTTTCGCTACCGTGTATGCAAGAACATCTATTGATAGTGAGGTTGTGGCCCAACCTCCAGGCTTTGAGGACGGGACATTATGAAACAAAGCGCCAGCTAAGTTATCCGCAGGCAGGTATCCAGGCAGCGGCGTCCCATTTGAGGACTTCATCTTCTTGATTCGCTGGTATTTTTCCGGCCCGGGTCTTTTCCAGATGGTGGCCCAGCCTTGGCTTCCTGGCTTGGGAGTGTCTGGGCCATCTGAGGACGGGACACGCTGTATGCATGCCTTCCAGAGTTGTTCGTAATTCAGGAAAATTCCCCCGGACTCAGCCCCCATCCGGAAACCAAATACCTATCGTTGTACAACAATATTCTGCCTTATTTGCTTAGTTTTTGAAGAGGATTTCAAGTCAGTCTCAGCTGATTACCATCTGTATCCCAGCGCCTCAAGATGCAAGATGATTTTCGTCTCAGTACGCAAATTGACGAGAGAAATTTCTCACATTTGACTAGGATGTGTGCACTATTTATATCCCCCTCACGTTATTCACTATATTTATTTTAGCAACAAAGTAGCTTTCCATGTACATTAGGAATTGCTATGTTCTATTTATTACTTTTTTGTACTGGAATTTTTAAGTAGTGAAACTGCTTTGCAATAAATTTATATTTAAACTCTATTCTGTTTAAATCTCTCAGATATATACATCAGTCTCTGGTTGAAAAGCTAAACATTAAGATTTTTTTTTCTAAACAAGGTAGGACCAGCCACGGAGCTCAGCACATCTGGTCTATTCAGTGACTTGTGGCAATACCTTTTACTCACAATTGAATGACACGGTAGGAATTTTTCCTTACACCCATTACCATTATTCACCTAACAGCGAAAAGGTACTCACCTGCTAACCAACTATTCTGGATGGCATCCTGAAGAAGAACAGAAAAGGGGTAGTGGCATACTTTAGAATCCGAGATGGTATCAATGAACTCTACATATCGCTCCTACTCCAGCGAAGCAACTGCACGTTGCTAAAGCTTAATATTAAGAAAATATAAATTATTAAAGAGAAACACTGCATTAGCTCCTTTGGGGCTTCGACCAAGCCCAAAAGGATCTAATACAGATATATTATTTATTCGGTCTTCTTTATCGGAACCAAGCTCTTTCTGCCTAGCTCTTTGTATATACTAGCGTTAATAATAATTAGAATTATTTATATAGCCTATTCAAAAACCTTAATAGAGTGTATGCTGTACTAATGTTAATATTAACCAAAGTAAACATCTTCGACCCTTTCAGTTAATGCAAAACAAAGCCTTTTGTAATTAGTCTTGACTGTTCGAAATCTGCCAAGTTCCTTAATATGATAAAGAAGCTGGGTAGTTGCACTATATATACCTGGAGGGTGATCTGGGGGTCAAAACCCCCGCGGTCCTGAATTTTAACTGTTCCTGGCAATTCAGCGCGAATTATCAATAGACGTCAGAGCCCTCATAGTACCGTATAAAGATGCAGGAGACCCAATGATTTTTAAACATAACACCGTTTTAAAGTCTCGGGAAGAAACAGTCAATAAGAAAGGAACAAGAAAGGGAACTAAATAGAGAAAATAGTGTTAGGTTAATATGTAACGAGGAGCTGATCTCAACTGTAACTTCAAAAGATTCATATCGCTTATTTCCGTCAACAGTGAAGACGAGACACGTTACATAAGATTTAATTCTTAAGAGCAACGTTTCTCTCTGTGTAGAACTTCAAGTCATGAATAAAGCTCTGCACAAAGCGAAACATCGTGCTAATGAAATCCTGCTCTGCAAGGTGTGTCTTCTCACTAATCTCGTTGAAATATTTAACTCTTACTTTTTTTCTTACTTATCAAATTTGATCGTGAACAGTGTAAAAGAAATACAGAAGTTTGTACAAAGTTCCCTTTTTAGGGTAGCACAATGCTTGCCTGCTGAGACACGACGGACTGTGTCAGAATCGTACTTTCAATGTTGTACAGATTACTCTTGCTCCTCAGGTATACTCCAGGTAACTCCAGGTATACTCCAGGTATATTCCAGGTAGCTCCATGTATACTCCTGGAAACTCCAGGTATACTTCAGGAAACTCCAGGTAACTCTAGGTATACTCCAGGTAACTCTAGGTATACTCCAGGTAACTCTAGGTATACTCCAGGTAACTCTAGGTATACTCCAGGTAACTCTAGGTATACTCCTCATGGTACTTGTAGTCCATACAAAGCTTAAAAAAAAACTAAGGTGTTATTCATAATTAAACGACAGTGCATAGATGCAAGAAAACATAAGTTCGAACCCTACATTCCTTAATAATGGTTTTAATATTACGTACTAACGTGTGCTTCGAGCAACGACCGGAACATCAACTGTTTCGTCAGGCAGAAGTAGTAGTAGCCGATTTCGTGTTTATTTTCTCGCAAGGCATTCTACCGGACCTCACACATATTTTGAAGATAATTACAGTACTTTGTAAGAACATCGCATTGCGTCTTTCATTGCTAGCAGTCCATGAAGACGAGGTTGAAGTAGCAGATAGTCTGGCGGGGCGGGACATAAAAGCTTAGTTTAAGTCTATCGACTGACCCATCTCTGGTATCAGCCTTAACCTCTGGTCCACTTCACTGTGTCGAAATTGGTAGACATGTTTTCCTCGGTTAATACTCCATATCCGGCTTTCTTTCATCTTCCCAGTATTTAATAACCTTGACTTAATTTGGCTGAGATCCAATAGCCTTCTGTTCGACAACTCGTATTAACTGTCCAGGTCCTTGGAGGACTCCCTGTCGTCTCCATTATATATATATTCTCCTCATCTTCTCAGTGAGAAGTAGAGATGTATCGGATGTGAAAATTTAGATATCCGTGGATGTAGATGTATATGAGGATGTCTTATTTCGCGGATGCGGATGTAAGAAATTGTGCGGATGTTCCATGGATTCGGATGTGGATGCATATACGGATATCTGTTTACAGTAAAATGCGGATGCGGATGTAAGAAATTGTGTAGATGTTTCGCGGATGCGGATGCGGATGCGGACAAGGATTCCATATTGTCAGTAATGTCATTTACGTTTATCAGGAACATTACCTGTAGCAGTAAAGACCTGGAGGGTCGTCATCCTGACAGCCCTCCTGGTCCATCCTGACACCGCCTCCCATACCCCTCTTCCCCCATTTTTCTCCTTTCCTTTGAATATTCTCTGATACAGTGAAGAGTCTTTCCAATTATCTCTGCACTGTTTTGTAATTTTTTTACAAATCTGAAGAGTAACCTATTATGAAGATAAAGTCCTTCCATCAGTGCAGCAGTGTGCCATCCACTCATCTTCTTTCATGTTTAATTTATTACCGTCATAGAACTCCACTATATTTGTGAAACAATTTACATTCTCAAAGCCATACCGACTATCACTGATAAAACCCCGCAGCTTCACTGCTTTATCTCCTTCACTGCTATACACATGTACGAAGTATGTGTGGAAGAAACCCAAATATTCTTACTTGAAGCCTTTTTATCCACTCTACACATTTTTTATTTTATCAAGATAATTGGCTCGTTGAAGATGTCCATTACATTAATGTATATATGTATATACATACATATATACATACATATGCTCATTAACAACCCACATACCCACAGGAAAACAAACTCGGAGGATGAATTTGTATATTTCGACAAATTCATCTCCCGTGTCTGTCCCAGTGTGTGTTATTATTGAGTAATGACATGTGCTCATTACTCTTTGATTAATTATCCACTTATAAATATATACACCCCCCACATTACATATACTTCCACCACCACCATAACTACCACAACTACCACTACTCCCACAACCACCACTACCATAACCACTACCAACACCACCACCACTACCATCGCCACAACTACCACCACCACCACCACTACAACCATCACTACCACCACCACTGCCACCATCACAACCACCCCTACCACCACCATCACCACTACCACCACTAAAACCACCACTACAACCAACCACTACTACCACCATCACTACCACCTCCACTACTACCATCACCACTACCACCACCACTACCACCATCACTACCACCACTACCACCACCACTACAGCCACCACTACCACCACTACAACCAACACTACCACCAACACTACCAACATTACCATCAACCACTACCACCACTACCATCACTACCACCACCACTACCACCAGTACTACCGTCACCACTACCACCATCACTACCACCACTACCACCACCCCTACCACCATCACTACCACCATTACTACAACCACCACTACAACCACCACTACCACCACTACAACCAACACAACCACCAACACTACCAACATTACCATCACCACTACCACCACTACCATCACTACCACCACCACTACCACCAGTACTACCGTCACCACTACCACCATCACTACCATCACCTCTACCATCACCACCACCCCCTACCGTCACCATTACCACCGCCACTACCACCATCACTACCATTATCACAACCACAATCACCACTTACAGCCACCTCCACTACAACCACCACTTTCATATCCCCACTACTACCACCACTACAACCACCACTACCATCACCACTACCACCTTCACTACAACCACCACTACTACCACCACTACAACCACCACTACCATCACCACTACTACCAGCACTACCATCACCACTACCACCAGCACTGCCACCAGCACTACCACCAGCACTACCACCAGCACTACCATCAGCACTACCATCACCACTACCACCACCACTGCCACCACCACTACCACCACCACTGCCACCAGCACTACCACCAGCACTACCACCAGCACTACCACCACCACCGCCACCACCACTGCCACCAGCACTACCACCAGCACTACCATCACCACTGCCACCACCACTGCCACCACCACTGCCACCAGCACTACCACCACCCACTACCACCAGCACTACAACCAGCACTACCACCACCACTGCCACCAGCACTGCCACCAGCACTACCACCAGCACTACCACCAGCACTACCACCACCACTGCTACCAGCACTACCACCAGCACTACCACCAGCACTACCATCACCACTACCACCACCACTACCACCACTGCCACCACCACTGCCACCAGCACTACCACCACCACTGCCACCAGCACTACCACCAGCACTACCACCAGCACTACCACCAGCACTACCACCAGTACTGCCACCAGCACTACCACCAGCACTACACCAGCACTACCACCACCACTGCCACCACCACTACCACCAGCACTACCATCACCACTACCACCACCACTACCACCACCACTGCCACCAGCACTACCACCACCACTACCACCACCACTGCCACCACCACTGCCACCACCACTACCACCAAAACTACCACCACCACTGCACCAGCACTACCACCAGCACTACCACCACCACTGCCACCACCACTGCCACCAGCACTGCCACCAGCACTACCACCAGCACTACCACCACCACTGCCACCAGCATTACCACCAGCACTACCACCAGCACTACCACCAGCACTACCATCACCACTACCACCCCACTGCCACCACCACTGCCACCACCACTGCCACCACCACTACCACCACCACTGCCACCAGCACTACCACCAGCACTACCACCAGCACTACCACCACCACTGCCACCACCACTGC